TGCCCACCACCACCACGAGCACCACCAGCCACACCACCACCTCCACCACCACTATGATGCAACCAGTGCAACCACATAGTGGGTGCTTTTTGGAAGAATGTAGACTGACACACCCCTTCACCATGATTGTCTCTCAGGCCCACCTCCTGTGGGAGCTTATACTTAGTGAAACAGGTTCTAGAACGCATGAACATTAAAGCCTTATCCTGAACGTGTATTATATGGCTCCTTACAAACGCAGTGGCAGCCCTTGTATAATGTCATTTCAAACCCATGTTTATCCCTATGTGGAATTTCCATCAGCTGGCATTCCTTCTGATCTCGAAAAAGGATGCATTTCCTGGACCCCAGTGTTGTGGAACGTGGTTATCCTCGATGACTTAATGTCTACTGCCAGCAAAGACCCACGCATTACAGATCTGTTTACAGAAGGAAGTCATCATCATGTAATCTCTCAGTGATCGCCTTGAACCAGGAATTTGTATTTCAGTAAGGATCACACAATAACGAAGAAACTGTCATTATCTGCTTCTGTTCAACAACCCTATCGATCAACAACCCATCATGACTTTGGCGGGGCAGATGTATCCAGGTAACACAAGACCATTTCATGGAGCCGTTTCAAGGAGGGCTAACGAAGCCTTATGGCTACTTGTTGGTTGATCACAAAACCCAAACACCTCCCCCATTTGCGACTTTGTCCCAACGCATTCAGTTTAAAGGACACCTCCAAGCCAGGACCATTCAGTCCGAGTTGGAGTGTTCAGCGTGAGCAGACGTGTGAAGAAAACCTCTCAAACGGCGCCATCTTGTGATGACTGTGGACTCGTGTTTCCAAGATGTGCAAGATTTGCAAAAACACAGAAGAAACTGGAGTCCCAGAAAAGTCTTCAGTGGGTCCCTCCTGGGACAATCTCCCAAGTGAAAAGGCGATGGGAGGAGGACAACAACTTTTCAACATCTGTAAAGAGACCACGTCCCTCTGTCAGATTGTGACTAGCTGTGGTCAAGTGTTTTAGCACTAACCATAATTTACAAAAGACATTTACACGATAAACTTAATAGTCCTGAAATGTGGAAAATGAGGATGATGATGTTGAATCATTAAGCGATGTCACACATGGCAACAGAGGAAAATAAGATGGCTGATCTCGAAGAGCAAGGTATAAGACAAAGTATTCAATGTACGCGTGAGAGCTGAATAAAAGACTTTTGGATGAGAAACGACAGCTGTACATAAAAAGAGGTTTAAAACGAAGACATGATTCAAGCCAAACTGAACAAATTGATGTGGAGCATCGCTTCAAAGAGACCTTATGCCCGATTTTATACTTATCTGTACCATATGCGAGTATGGTCCAAAGACACAAGGAATACTGAAACAAGTAAAAGACACAAATAATATGTAATTATTTCAAAATTGTACCAATATACGGTCGAAAGCATGACCAAAGATGAAGACACATAACATCTGATGAAGAGAGGAAGGACAGGTGGATGAGGAAGGTACTACACAACAGATGTAAAGTGCAGGCATTTGGGAGATTCCATCCCAATGTCTACTCATTTGAAAACGGAGCCAATAAACAATGAAATCTGTATATCTCTTGTTTCTTGAATGTATGGTACCAATGAATGCCTACACCCCTTCAGTAACCCATGTTTGTCGTAAGAGGTAAGACTGACGGCATGTGAGTCACCTATGTGTCACATGATGTAAAAAATAAGTGTCATGTTCATGGCGATAAGAGGGTTTTTTGGCGTTTGGGCAATTTGAGAGTAAAAGCTTTTAACATGTTGAGTAAAGCTCTTTTATTATGAGGACACAGATTTCTTATTCATGATATATATGACAAATGCTAAATCATTTCATCGCTGTACAATCAAATTTTTCTGTAAAATGTCCTCACTATTTCCTGTATTTTGTAAGACACTTGTCTCCTCTACGGAAGCTGACCGTTTGCTAAAGCATACATTTAACTTCACATTGAACAATTATCCATGCCATGTACTCATGATTACAGTCTGACCTTTAAACAGCGGGAGAGCTGACCGTATGTGACCACGCTGAAAAGTATCACCAACCATGTACACATGATTACAGTCTGACCTTTAACCTGCACAAAACAATTTCTGGTCATCCTGAACCGGCGAGCGCAGGAAGTCATCATTGCGGGAAGTTAAACACATGAACCTTCCCAGGTCCGGCCGCAACTAACTGTCACCTACTTGAACATAATTTGTGCGTTTTACAATTACTCTACTTGAACATAATTTGTACACGGCATAATTGATAGCTGTAAATGACAGCATATTAAATACCTTACAAATGGTGGTCAGTTTTTACCGACTGGATGCTGATGCTTTTAACAAACATAACACCTATACATCTATTTCATCCAATCACGGCTGTCACATGTTCTTCAGTGACGGTTCAGCGAGAGCAAGCGATTCTGCTATGCGAATCTGCTTAAGCGTTTGTATTAATGTGCCTATAGATCGCGCGCCCACCACGCCTATATGACCTGCACATGACCTACCAGCTAATAACTGGTTTACTGTTGACAGATATGGAAACATTCCGGCGCTGTTCCTTGTGTCACAGCGTATTATAAACTTTAACAAAATGCGCTGTGATATTTTGACCTTATAAATCGCAGCTAAATTCTCCCCTCATTGTGTGATATTAATTTCTACTGCTGAACGACGCGTATGCTTAGTCTGCCCCATGGTCCCTTGAACCACATTATTTTCCCTACTGCCACATACAATCACCCTCTCTGTAGTGCTAAAACCCTGTAAATTAAAACAAGTCTGGATTTCAGGTTCTTGAATCTCTGGTGCTCCTTTTCAATTTAAACGGGCTTGTTTGTTACTATCAAAAATTATATATATATATATAAGCATTAGTTTGTCGTGAACGCTCGAGTCGGGCAAACTCATACCACTCCATAAGATAATTGAATACACCACTTTAGGTCAACCTGAAGGTAACACACACACACCTAGGCCGGAAAGGGGAATCCTAAGGAGGGTGGGTCTAACAACTGGGACAGTCGCCAACAAAGGTCATACCTATGCTGCATCATAAAAAGAAAAATGGAGGATATGGGCCAGAACTCCCCCACTTACAACAATTAAACAGCTTTAACATCCTGACATATGTAAGGCTGGATGATGAACTTTGCCAGAATGTAATAAGTGAGGGGTTGGATTATGCCTAGCAGTCTGAAACACTGACCACGGTAGTACCCTGTCCGCCTGTTAGTCGATCAAGGCAAATGACCCCTTCAACAGATGAAATCACTTTTTTAGACCACAGCATGATAAGAACTTACACTTGAATCTATTGATTCATCAAGCTAAGACTTTGAAATACTTCCAGACATTCAAAATTATTGACTGTGTATTGTTTTGAGGCTGTTAGACTTGCCAATGTCATGTATAAGCCAGTTTAGAGGGAACAGAAGTGAAAAAAGACCACATAACTTTGAAATTTATTGGTTACCCTACCCTAAACTGAATATTTTTTAATTACAATTAACAGTGTTTGGCAATATCAGCTAAAACAGAGCTTATCTGCAGTAATTTATGGGTTACTGGGTTAGAGAAAGACACAATGTATTTGCGTAAACAGGGAGATAATTTTAAGATATCGAACACTCTCATGTCAATAAAATGTAATTCAGACCCATAACATTACATTCCACAAGGGTCAGTTGTTATTATTTACATCTAAGCAGCTTCTGGGATTGATGTACAGCCCTTATTTCATGTCTGGGAAACTGAAATACTACACACTGAGGAATTAAGGGACACTGTCAGAAATTTCTAATGGATGAGGATGACCGAGTGATGGAATTTGGTAGTGAGACATTGTTTTGCCTTAACTGGACTGGACACTTAAATGTACTATATGTACCTACATGTCCAAGTAATTGCAACTTCTACAAGGCGGTAAAGCATATCGAAGCAAAGGGAGTAAGCTTTGATTAGACACTGCCAACAACAGACTTCGGGCCGGCTTGTCCAAATACCACATTGGATGTGAAGGCTTCTTTTTCTGCTGTATTTGTGAAGATACACCTCCCCATTCACCAACAGGCATTCTACAAGCTGAAAATAGTGTTGAGATTACATTAAAATGTCAAATCATAAAATCCATAACAGCAATGAGACAGTTGTTAATAAAACAGAAATTCATTTTGAAAGTCCTATGGGCGAAAAAGGGTATATTTTTAAGAAAGGGAAAGAAAATTAGGTCGTTGCATATTCAAAGGGGACAGACAGAAAGAAATTGGTCATATGCTACACTGTTTGCATTTAAAACAAGGGTTTGTGACATGTTCTGTTGTCAGCAGTGAACATATTTCATGATATTCCATATCATTTGACTTCAAATTGACCCTCGACAGGAGATTAAGGTTAGACACTCACATTGTTGTGGCAGTGGTGATTTTAACCCTAATTTGTTATCAAATTCATCAGTTCCAACAAATGTAGTAGCCAGGGAACCACTACTTGATGGTAAGACTCACCTCGAGGGTCTTTTCCCACTGTTCGACCACTAAACGAAGCAACGTTCATATTCTGGACACTCAAACAATCTATTCCACTCAAAACAGCCCTATTCTTTACAAACCCAGTACCTTTAAATTTGCCTCTACATTAATGCTAACATGTTTCCATGGTGAAATAAACACAGGAAATCGTGTAAAGTATGAATTACTGAAAAGTGCTCGAACACTACAGGAAAATTTAGAAACATTTGCCCTAGGCAAATCTGTGATTTATGTAA